ATCAGGTACAACATTTAATGATAGCCATAGGATACAATAAACAATCATATATACTAGGAAACAGTCAATATAAATCATAAGGATGCAAGCGACAAAGTTACAGTCCTACCTACAATCACAAGTGGGAGAGGATGAGCGATAAGGAGTGACGAGAAGGTTAATAGTAATAGTAGTGCAGACTTTGTAAATAGTTGAACAGTGTTGAGGGAATTATTTCTTTAGCAGAGTGATGGCTTTGGGGGGAAAACTGTTCTTGTGTCTAGTTGTTCTGGTGTGCAATGCTCTATAGTGTTGTTTTGAGGGAAGGAGTTGAAACAGTTTATGTCCGGGATGTGAGAGGTCTAGTTTAGTTGCCAGGCACCAAATTTTATTCATGTAACCACCAGGTGTTGCACATCTGCTGCACAGATCAGTCATTCAACACTGTCATAGCTTCAGTCACAAAATGAATGTTCATGAGTTGAGAAATACCTGTATCTCTGGAGTTGTTGTCCAGGTATCTAAAATGCTCTTAGTGGAGGAAGACTGATGTTAAAATCTCCTAATGTTCTTAACTTGCCATGTGTTCAAACATACTGGGTTTTCTCCCCTTCTTTCCTCCCTTATTATTATTTGTGAGTTAATTTCTTTTAGAAATTAATATGTCATCTCTTCTCTTTTTTTCAAAACGTCAAAAGCTTAAATTAAACCCAACCAGGCGACTGTGAGTTCTAGTCCCAGTTTAGGCACAAAAGGAGACTGGGTGACTTTTGGCCAGTCCTTCTCTCTCAGTCCAATCCATCTCTCAGTTGTTGTTATAGGGAAAATAAGAAGAGGGAGGAATATTAGGTCTTGACTTATTTATTAAAAAATAATAAAGGCAGGATAGAAAAAAATCTTTAAAAATATAAAGGAAAATGGAGCTTAAAATAACTCTCAATTTTTACTCCTGTAATAGCAACCTAGTACCCTAAATTGCCTTACAAGAAAGTGACTGGCCCAATGCCATTTAGCTGGCCTCTGCGCTTCTACTTGGATGTAGTCTAGCCCTATACCTCCCTGAGAGATTGGTTCAAATTCAGACAAATCCTGTAAAGCCAATCCTCTTTCTTTTACATCTTTAGCATACATCTAAATACTTTATATTTAACTCGTGATTTTTTTTTCCTCTTGCCATACAAATTGGCCATTGTCTAAATTGGGTGTCTCACTTATCAGAAATATTTTCTGAAGCACAAAGACCCTTCTAGAAAAAACATTCATTTTTATTACAGAAATTCTTCCCAGTAATGACAATCTAAAGTCTTCCCATTCCAACGTCCTTACTTTCATTCCACATCTTCATCTAATTATCTTGAAATAACATACAATTCCAATTTGTCATAGTAATACCTAAATATTTACTTTTTTCTCAAACCTGAAACCAGCTTTCTCCATCAGCTCTATTTGATCTTTTAATTTTGTATTTTTTGTTTGTTATTATCTTCATCTTTTGATTGTTAATCTTAAAACCTGCTAGCATACCAAAGTTGTTTAATTTTCCCATTAACATTTCTACTCCATCTAGGAGATCTTCCAACATTAACACCAGGACATTTGCAAGTATCTTTAACTTAAATGTTTCTTTTTAAAACTGAACTGCACAAGCCGAACACCTTTGGATATAATTTTTTTACAATTAGAGATATTCTGAGTGGCTGGAAAGAACAAAGACACACAATGAGTTGCCTTATTTTGGGAATTAAGAATGGAGAACATTAACTGAAATTATTTTAATTTAAAAGCAAAAGCTTAACAAGATTGTGATTCAAGATAAATTTAAACCTGCAGAGGGAAAAATAATTTTAGAAACTAGTCATTTTAGAAATATTTTCTAAAATAGTTTTTAGAAAACATTTATTCTTTGGATGAAAGTACCTTTGAAAATTGGTGTTCATAGGATCCCAAAGAGTTGGACATGATATAGAACTGAACAATAACAACAACAATCTTTGAAAATAGTAAAATTAAGAGATTTGGGGGGGGGGGGAGTTTAAAAAATTGGAGGAAATAATGTAGAGGTGATGACAGATGTTATTAATCAAATGTTGCCACAGATAGAATATGACATTGTTGTGGCTACCACATTGGCCCTATAAGTCACAAAAGGTATTGATTTTTCTAAATGCTTGGTATCCTTATGGATTATAAATGCTTAACGTAGAATATAAATGGAGCAAAGGCCCCTCAAAAGAAAAAAACGTTTAACTGTTTGAAAATTTAAAACAATTATTCAAAAAAATTAAAACAAGATGGGATTTGCATACAAGGACCTGAGAATTTTCAGTCCTATTTCAAAAACAATGCAGTGACTCTAACCACTCAGATCTGAGATCATACTGAGCTATTCATGAAAACTTTTTTCTATTAAAACAATCCTTTTAAAACTCAGGTAGGATAGGATGTCAGAGACACCATTGTAAGTTTCTGGTCACAAGCTGGTCTTCTTGGAACTTGTCTGGCCACTCTTAAATCTTTCTATATTTAACCTAGGAGCTGTCAGCCAGAGATTAAAACTTTCTCAATCATGAAATTGTCCCATGTTAAGAAGAAAACAAGAACTGGATTATTTCTTCCATATCCTGGAAGAAATATGACCTGATTGGAAATACTTGCCTAACTTCATTTTTTTAAAAAAAAAAAATTATTGATTTTTCTGTTGTTTACATTTTGTCAGTGCTTAATAAACATCGTGTTGTCTGGGTTAGTTAATTTGCTTAAGAATACAGATTATGTTCTTAATCTTCACCTCTTGTTTTCCAACCACCGGTATAATAAAATCCAGGTCTAATAATATTCTGCGTCTTTTTTGGACAGCATAAGTCTGTCCATTTCTGCACAATCTAATATCTTCCTAATTATTTCTTTGTCTTGTGATGTTTCTCCATTTTTTCAGTGTTGTGCAAATATAATCCTCGCTGCTATTAAGGCATGCAATATTAAATATATACTTTGTTTATCAAGTTTTTCTGATGTTATACCTAATAAAAACAGTTCAGGTTTAAAATCTACACGTTTTTCTAGCATCTTTTATGTATTTTTGCCCATTTTTTTTTTTTGTTGCTTTAACACAAGTCCATCACATGTTAATACAGCCTAGAACCGTGTTGGCTTTTTGCCCACTGACTGATGAGTTTTACATACAAGTAGGTTACATCTGCTTATTTTAGTTGTTTTGTGCTTTCATTCCTGCCGAATGATTTAGGGTGAAGACTAGCTATCAATGGTTGACAATCACCTCCACGAATTTAGTTACTCACACCACAATCCCAAGGAAATCTCACCAATTGACTATGTTTCCTAATCAAAACATTTTGAACTTGAGATTTTAACACTAGTAGCCAGGAAAATGGGAACAAATCTTCATCTTGGGAGAAGGCCCACTCTGGGGCTTTTAAAAACCTATATTAATACATTTCATTGCATGTAACAGATTTCAACAGGAAGCGAGTTGCTGCCATTTGTTTTATTTATTCCTGATGTCAGATCTCATTTTTTTGTTGTTGATACAAGACTTAAGACAGTTACTAAACCATTGAGGAAATACAGAAAGCTAGCCACAAAAATAAATAATTTTTTTTTAAAAAACCGTGCAATGAACAAACACGACTTTTGTTTTTTTTTTCTTCCTCCTCTTCTTCAACCCGCCCCCCTCCCCATGGAAAACCTCTGTCCAAGATTTGACCCTTTCACCCAAGCAGCTAAAAATCTAGCTTTAGCTTTGGATCCAATTCAGCTTCACCAACCCCACAAAATCTAACCGGCGGGGCGTTTTCTTTTGTTTTCTTCCTGGATTTTTGCACCCTCAGCTCACAAGCAGACCCCCCCCTCCCCAATTTCTACAGCTCCTCGGAAGGGACCCCTCTCGCTCCTCCGGGCCGTCCAGCGCGCTCTTTCGGGCCCTTCTGCTTTGCGCAGCCGGGAACTCCCCGCGGCGTTTCGGCCGCAGAGAAAAGGCACCGAAATACAAAACGGCGCCAGATTCTCCCTCTTTCTCTGCCCGCTCGGCCGGTCCTTCTCCCAGCCAGCCAGCCCCACGGGCGAAGAAAGGGCCTTTCCTCCCGCCTTGCGCGCTCGCGCCGAGGTGTCCGTCCCCGCGCAGCGCCATGGCGAGGAGAAAGGCGGCCTTCTGGCCGGCGGGGGTGGCGGGGGCGCCTTTCCGTGCGCGTGGAAACCCTCCCACCCACCTCCACCTGGCGTCCCCGGGGAAGAGCGGGAAGGGAAAGGAGGCGGAGGGCGAGCGAGCTATCGATTCTCCCACCACCTCTCCAAAAAATAAAGAGGGGGTGGGCGGGAAGGAAGAAAGGAAGGAGCGGAGGTGGGGGGAGCATCCAGGTTTCCCCGTAGTGCCCGGGAAAGCGTCGGGAAGAGAAGGGATTTCCCTCCCCCCTTTCTCGCTGCAGCGGCGGCGGCGAGGAGATCCAGGATGGGCGAAGCTTCCTTGTAGGAGGGAGAGCGTAGCGCAGCGCAACGCAGCGCAGCTCAGGCGGCGACGGTCTTCGGGCCAACCTTGTTCCCAAGGCAGGGCTGGGGGAGGGGATCCCCGCCTGGAAAAAAGCCCCCCCACACACACACACCCTTCCCTTTTTGCATCCGCCCCCTCCCACTCCGCAGCCCTCGCCTTGGCCGGGACCCCCCCGCAAAGCGGCTTAAGCGTTTGGTGGGGGGGACACTAAGATTGCTAGTGCCCAGCCCGGGGCCTTCGCTTCCCCCCTTTTGCACGCGCGCGCACACACACACACACATACATACATACATGCAGACACGAGCGCGCGCACGGACGTAGGCACCCTCACTCTCGCTCTCATACACACACTCACACACGGACGTAGGCTCTCTCTCTCTTTCTCCTTCTTTCCATCTCTTTCTTTCTCTCTCTCCGCTTTCCTTTTCTTCCCTTGCTCCTCCTCCTCCTCCTCCTCTTCTTCTTCTTCTTCCATCACCGCCGCCACCGCCGCCGCCGCCTCCTCCTCCTGCCGCCGCTCCGCCCGAGGCCTTTCCTTCCCTCCGGAACCGATTCGCCTTCCTCCCCCGGTGACGGGAGGGAAGGAGGGGCAGCGCTCCCTCGCATCTTCCATCCTTGCCCGCCCTCCCTCCCTCCAAACCCGGCCTCTCTCTCTCTCTTCCTCCCTCTCCCCTCCCCCAGCTCGGTGGATCGGGGGCAAGGCCTGGGAGCGGTGCTGGGGGTGGCCTCGGACGCAGAGACGGGGCGGGCAAAGCTGGACTCGGACCCGATGGCTCGTCCCAGGCCCCGCGAATACAAAGCCGGGGATCTGGTATTCGCCAAAATGAAAGGCTACCCGCACTGGCCGGCCCGGGTGAGTACCAAGCAGGAAAGGGGAGAGGAGGGAGGGAGGGAGGGAGGGGGCGCCTTGCACCGGGGGAGAGAGAGAGAGAGAGAAAAGGGCGGGGGGGGTATCGAAGGCCTGGGGAAGAACTTCCCACCCACCCAAGCCAGGCCCATCCCTTCCCCTCCCCGTTGCCGCAAAGGGTTGGCTGCCGCTTCGCCGTTCCGCTCGCCTCTGGATGGAGCCTTTGTGTTGGCAGCGCGGGGATGGAGGAGGGCGAGCCACAAAAAAAGGAGGGAGAGAGAGAGAGAGAAAGAGAGAGAAAGAAGGCCGCCTCCATCCTTCCATTCTTCTCTCTGACTCTAACACGCCCCCCCCCACCCCGTTAAAATGGGACCATTCAGCAACTGGGGGGGGGGGGGGTTTCCCGGCTCTTTCTCCGATGGGATCCCCCTCTCCCCACGCAGGCACGCACGCGCGCGCACACACCCCTTTCTTCCTCTGGATCGCTCCCAGGGCCTCTTCAAAGCAGCCACAACCCCCGGGTCGTTGGAATTGGGGGCGGGAAACGGGCGGGACGGGAGAAGATGGTGGTGGGCGCGGAGCGGTTGTAGGTTTTTTTTTGTTTTATTAAAGGCTGCAGAAGGGAGAAAGCCGGGTAGGCTGGTCAGCCTGATCACCACGGGTTTATTGTCCTTCCACCATCACACACACACACACACACACACACACACACCCCTTAAATTCCCTGCCATCCTCTGCCTCGCCCCCTTCCTGGTTGCGAGCAGGAGAGATGGAGGAGGGGAAGGGGGAAAAAACCGTATTCCACCCCCACCCCCCCTTTCCCCACAGCCACAATTTCTGGGCCTCTTTCTGGAAGGCCCCTCCGGTTGAAGAGAGGCTGCCCTCTTGCACACACACAGAGAGAGAGAGAGATCCATCCAGGTCTCCAGAAGAAGCCTTGAATAGAGGAAAGCCAGATAGATCTCTTTGGGGGAGGGGAAGAAGCTTTGGGGAGGGGGCTGTTCTTTAGCTCCATGGCCTCAATCTTGGGCGTGTGAGGTTGGAGGTGGAGGCCCTACCTGCAAAACGGGCAGAAGCAGGTTGGTGCTGGTGGGGCTTGGCAAGGCTTTGAGGCCAAGAGACCTTAAGATTTTGGGGGGCAGGTGGTTCCCTTAACACAGGTCGTCCTCAGGCTGCAACCACAGTGGAGCTGGAGATTTGCGTTGCTAAGTGAGACGTTGGTGAATTTTCGTTTTGTTGGATAGGGCCTGTGTTCCGAGTCTATTGAGGAAGAGGAGGAAGAAAGAGGAAAAGGGGCTGGTTTGTATTTGTTTTGGGAAACTAAAACAGCCTGAAAGGCAAATGGAAGCTTTCCTGTTCTTTAGAAGTGCAGACAGTCCTTGACTTCTACGACCACAATGGAGCGCAGAATTTATGTGGCTGAGAGGTTTGTTAAGCGAGTTTTGCCCTGTTTTGCTTGCCACAGTTGTTAAGTGGGTCGCTGCAATTAAGTCAGTAACTTGGTCACTAGGTGAATCTGGCTTCCTTATGGACTTTGCTTGTCAGAAGGTCACAAAATTGGATCACATGACTCCTCGGGACACTGCAAACCATCATAAAGAGGAGTCAGAATGCCTGAACACATGGCCATAGAGGGTGCCACAACGGCCATAAGTGTGAAAAATGGGCCGTGTCACTTTTTTTCAGGGTCATAACTTTGAAAGGGTCACTAAACAAACTTTTGTAAGTTGAGGACTGCCTGTATTGGATGCAGAAGATCTGAGAAAGTAGGGTAATAAAACACATGTGATTGGAGCCAACCAGGGGTTGAGAGGGTTGCATTCAATTCCCCTCTCCCTGCTTCTGAGGCACAGGAATTTGGGAAGATAATTTGAACCCTTGAGCCTGAGCATGGGCCTCTGGGCTTCCGTATCTGTAGTGCCAGAAAAGATAGTTCTTGACTTACAGACATTCATTTAGTGTCTGTTACAACAGCCCTGAAAAAAAGTGATTTAGGACTGTTCCTTACAACATACAACACACCTCCGGTCAAATACTTAAAATGTGCATGCTTGGCAACCAGCATTTATTTAGAAGAGTTGGCACCTCTCTGGGTCACCTGATGACCATTTACAACAGAAGTCTCCAAACTTGGCAACTTTAAGACTTGTGGACTTCAACTCCCAGGTATTCTGGGAATTGGAAGTACACAAGTCTTAAAGTTGCCAAGTTTGGGGACCCCTGATTTACAGGTTTTCCCAGTGAGCCGGTGACAAAGTCAACAAGAAGACTCAGATTTGTTTAATGATGGCATGATTCACTAAACTGCGGTGATTTACTTAACAACCATGCTTTTTTTAAAAAGGTCAAGGGGTGGGATATAACTCACATAATAATGCCTCCCCCCCCCCCCCCCCCCCGTTGCTTAGCAATGGAAATTCTCGTCCCAATTGTGGTTGGTTGTACGTCAAGGAAACAACCACCTGTATTTCTTTTGCTTGCAACTGAAACCAAGTAGAACTGATAAGCATCCTTCTATTTCTGCCTTCTGTTCCAGAGATCTACTGAGCTGGTCATCTTTGGAGGGCTTTGTGGTAGAATCTTTGGTGGCTGTAGTAGGCCCAAGAGAAGGTCCCTCTTCTCTAAGAGTATAGCTTTGTGG